TGTTTGCCTGGCCTGGCTGGCCTGGCAGAACCCGCACCTGCTCTTCCTAGACGAGCCTACCAATCATCTGGACATTGAGACCATCGATGCACTGGCCGACGCCATCAATGAATTTGAGGGTGGCATGATGCTGGTCAGCCATGATTTCAGACTCATTCAGCAGGTGAGGGGCCTGGGCAGAAAGGCCTCGCAGACGGCACCCGGGAGAGGGCTGGCAGGGGTGAAGGCTAGTGGGACCTGTTGTGGCACATGGAGGGGGCCCCTTCCTAAAGTCTCCTCATAACAGTCCTTTGGGTAGGTTTGAGGAGGGCACGCTAGTTAGGATTGAGTCTCTGGTTTTGCTTCCAGGTGGCACAGGAAATTTGGGTCTGTGAGAAGCAGACAATCACCAAGTGGCCTGGAGACATCCTGGCCTACAAGGAGCACCTCAAGTCCAAGCTGGTGGACGAGGAGCCCCAGCTCACCAAGAGGACCCACAATGTGTGAGCCCTCTGTCCAGGCTTGGGTCAGGAGTTCCACTGGGGACTTAACAGCTGCTACCCTGACCAGCTGCTCAGGATGGGACCCCAGGGCTACACTCCTGCATTGCTGCAATACACTTCCCCAGCCTCTTCCCTACCCCTCAACCTGCCTTAGCTGCACTCTTAACTACGGCTGGACAGTACCTGTCCGTTTCAATTCTCCTCGCAGTTACTTTTGTCCATGTCTGGACTCAGTTGGCTCTTCCCTTCCAGCCCCTGGCTGGTCACCTTACCTAGGTAGTGATGTAGCCAGAGGCACCTGAGGGTTAGCCCAGGGGCCCAAGCCCTGGATTTGGCCTGTGAAGGAGCTTAGGATCCTTGTTTTCTGGGTTTTGGTGATGTTGGAAGAAAACTCCCAGCCCCACTGCCCCCATCCTTCTGCTTCTGGTTTGGGGCTCTGGACCAGGGCTTTAGTCCTGGTCAGTTTTTAAATAATTATTTAACAGTGTAACTTCTAGACCTGCGTGACATCTACAAAGTGTCCAATAAAGAAAGAAGAAGCCATGGTACTGCCCTTCCTTCTCAGGTCTTAGGGACATTCACTCCCTTCCTCCCTGCAGTACCAACATTCACCTTTCCCTCAGCAGTAGTTGGGGTAAGAGGAGGCAGTGGGATGGCTGTGAACTGAAGACTAAGTCCCAAGAGATGAAAGAGGCTGGATACAAGGAGTGATTGCCCAGCAATTCCAGAACTTTGCTTATTTGAAACTGCATTTTCGGCCTGGTCAGCCTCACTTGTTAGACCAGAGACTGATGAGGTGGTTTAGCAGGTCTCGGGTGAGTCCTACAATTAACAGCTAACATGGTCCCAGGTGGTGCTGCTGCTGTTGGCAGGCCACACTTTGATAACCACTTCTTAGAGCAGGTGTACATGTGGTATGAAGCTCTCCTGATTATGACACTAAGTGCAGATCCCTGGGCTCCAGGCCTTTGGGTTCCATTTGGTGGGAGAGATGCAAAGATGGCCAGGAGTCTGCATTTTCATAATGAAGTTTGTGAACCATTTTTCCTGGTAATTTTCATTAGCACAACCCAGTTTCCTTCTAGGCCAGGGCTCTGCACAGCTCTTTTTAAATTTGAATAGTATGTCAAACCTTTGTGCTGTCGGACATACCAGTCAGCACTCCACCTCCTAAACCTCAGCAGACACCCTAGTCATGATTGTTCAATACTTAGTAGTTCCCCTAAGACTACCTGAAAGTCCCAGAGTGTCCAAACCCCCAAGGGCACTCAACAAGGCTAGAGAATAAGACATAGAAAGGACGTAAACTAGATAGTAGATTATGGTAGTAGGACCCACAGAAGTAGTCAGAAGGGATGGAAGTGTGATGATTAGCTATCCAGGAAGCCAAGTTTGGATTCTGACTTGAAAGATGAGTAGAATCTCAGCTGGACGTGAAGTTCAAGAGTTGATCTAGGCAGAGGGAACAGCAAGAGACTTCTGGTGATGAGCCACAGCTGACACCAAGACAGCCCAAATATGATTGATGGGTAACAACTCCTCTGTTCCCGCTGGCCCTGGAGTTGCCTGGTTTTGCTGCTTGCTTTTTCCAGGTAAGTGAAGCTTGGAGCAAAATGACCTCAGTAAGTCAGTCGTGTGTATTAAGAGACCTGGTTCAGGAAGATGGAGCTGCAAAGTGACCTTCTGGGATTACAAGAGTAGTGAGGCAAGAAAGTGAGTTTTTGGGTGTACAGAGAGCCATTAAAGCCTGTGGGATTCTCCAGAGTAGTGTATCTGATGTGTGGAAGATCTTCAGGGTCTGGAGGGGTGGGAGGAGGAGTCACATTAGCTTATTTGTCACAAAAAAAAAATCCCAACCAATCTCGAATCATTTTAGGGATGCTTAAAAAGCTTACAAAATATATTTCTACAAATGTGTGGTGTGTGAACTTTTAAGAAGTTTGTAAATATACTGGGAGGTAGGGGATTGAGGAAGACTGGTGAAAGATTTCTTACCCAGAAACAGGAAATTAACTTGGTAAGAGGAGGGAGCACGTATGCAATATTGGGAGTGCTGGGTAGGGTTGAGCCAGGCCCTGCCCCTTCCACCTTTCCACCCCAGGTGCTCACACCCAGCCACACCTGGTAGAGCCGTTCACTTCCTATAAGGGCTCCTAGGGATGGGAGGCAGCTGCAAGGAGGAGCCAGAGCTAGAGGATGAACGCTGAGCTTGGGCAGCAGCAGCAGCAGTCTGAGGGCCAGAGTGGCCGTAGTTCTGGGGACAAGAAGTCCAAAAAGCGAAGCCGGGGTAAAGAAAATTACTCAGTGTATATCTACAAGGTGCTCAAGCAGGTGAGAGTGGGAGCAGGGAGGTGTGGGGATAAAAGGGTACTGAACCAGTCCTGGTACTGAGGCAGTAGCCTCTGGAACTTGTCTTTTGAGAGAGTTAGACTTGATCTGGAGGCCCCTGCACCTCAGTATCTGTTGAGCACCTATGATAAGCAGGAGACATTGGAAACATGCTTCCTGCCACTGTCACCACCAAGCAGTTTAAAGGGCTTCTGAGCAGGTTATACATCTGTATAATCAGTATTAGGTGGGACCATGTGAAAGTGCCAAACAGCCTGATACAGACAAGATGTTGGGAGTGGGCTTCTCTGGAAATAGCATTCTTGGTTCATACTTTCTTCAATTAAATAAGAACATAATATTAGTCAAATAAGAAAAAAGATGTTGGGAGGGGTTCGTGGGGGGATTACCATCAGGCAGACAGCTTATGTGGCCCTGAGAGCCACAAAGGCTTAGGCTTGACCCAGTCACAAGTCCTGATGGTGGCATGTCCTGTTTGTCCCACTCTAAGCAACAGGCTGCCATCTTAATTCCTGGCCAGAGATGTCTTGGAACTAGGCCTGGTGACAAACCTTCAGGGGCACTGATGGGTATCCAACAGCCAGTGTGTATCAGGGATCCAGATAAACAGCCTCAGAGCCACTACCTTGCAGCAGGATGGGTCTGGGACAGGGCAGAGCCACTCAGCTACCTGCCTCAGGTTCTCACCCCTTGTTAGATCACAGATGGGGACCTTGTTCTCCAGTCTGAGTGACTGCCTTAGCAGTTTGAATTGACAGCTTAAGCCTCTGGGGTCTCAGGGTAGGATAGGGGTAGGGTAGCCCTACTAGTGACACGTGCTGGTAGAAGGGCAGACCCAAATGTGAAGAGAGTAGGGCAGGAGTGGATGCTACTGAGCCCTGCAACTTAGCCTAACTGAGGCACAGAAGTGGATGCAACCAAGAATTGGATCTGTGTGGGAGTTGCCCTTTTATTCAAAACCAAACTCATTGCCATCGAGTCAATTTGACGCATAGTGACCCCTCCTCGGGTTTCCTAGGTGGTATCTCTATGCAAGTAGATTGCCCAATCTTCCTTAACAAGGAGTGGCTGGTGGGTTTGAATCACCAGCCTTCTGGTTAGCAGTCAGATGCCTTAGGCACTACACCACCAGAGCAGGGCAAAATGTGTACTCACTGAGGATGAGGCTGTACTAATCACCGAAGGGATTTTGGTGGTACAAAAGTTAAGCACTCAGCTGCTAACAAAGTTCATACCCACCCAACGGCTCTGTGGACAAAAGACCTGGTGATCTGTTTCTGTAAAGATTACACTCAAGGAAACCTTGTGGAGGCAGTTCTACTCTCACATGAGGTTGCTGTGAGTCAGAGTGAACTCAGTGGCACCCAATGACAACTTTGTACCACGGATTTCATCTTTGGCAATCGGGTGGTGGGAAGAACAAGGGGATGGGAGTTGAGCCCTGGTTCCATATCCTGATCTATGTCTGTGCAGTTACAAAGCAGTTAATAACGTCTACCTCACACTTAAAGGTCATTGGTTTTCTAGAGATCACCTAGTTTGAAAGTTTTTGTGACAAGGCCCGGAGGAAAGAGTTTTATTCATGGTCACACGATGGTTCCATGTCAGCCAGACAGAACTGCTAATTAGTGTAAAAATGTTCTTTGGGGAGTAATTGGTAATTGCGTACATCAAGTTACCTGTACCCTTTGACCCAGCAGTCCCTCCTCCAGCAACTTTTGGTATGTTTGTACCAGAGCTTTCAAGGATGCATATTTACTATAGACAATTAGCAGGAACAAAATGGGGCACAAACCCCATTAAGAGAGATACTGGTATAAACTAGGATTCATCCATACTGTGTGGAACACTGCAGATGCATCTGGTGAAAAAGCAAGATGCATGCATAACACTTCATTTGTTAAATATGTAGAGATGACTACAGCACTTAATGTCATGGTCACCTCTCAGGATTGGGAGAAACTCCCCCTCCTCTCGACTTGTAAAAAGGTCACCCTCTGGGAAGAGGCTGCTAGGAGGCCTTGGAGTCCTGCCTCTTGTTTCCAGCTAGCCCCCAGTTCAGGGGCTGAGGTCCAAGAATTGGGCAAGAGCACCTTCTTAATACATCGGTCCTGCTGCTTCTCCCAGGTGCACCCTGACATCAGTATCTTTTCCAAGGCCATGAGCATCATGAACTCCTTTGTGAACAATGTGTTTGAGCGGCTGGCTGGGGAAGCCACCTGGCTGGCCCAGTACTCGGGCCGCACCACCCTGGCATCCTGGGAAGTGCAAACGGCTGTGCGTCTGATGCTGCCTGGGGAGCTGGCCAAGCATGTTCTGTCTGAGGGCACCAAGGCTGTCACCAAGTACATTAGCTCCAAATGAGCCAGGACTGGCCATAAATAAAGGGCAAACTGCTCCTATGCACTGTGGTGGTTTGTGAAGGGAGGGTGTGACCTAGGACAGCAGTCAGCATTACTGTTTATGGCTGCTACAGGAGGTACAATAATGCACTCATTTTCTAAGAATTGCTCTCTGGTTGTGTCCTTTGGGCAGCGCACTTAGTCAGGGCTGGCATCTGGACTGAGTCGCGGCCTGGCTGTGGCTGTTTGCATTAAAACTTCTCTGAGCCTGAAAACTTCCCAGGGTTACTCTCAGCCCTAATAGTCCATGACTGTGATGCCATCTCTCATGTCCTTTGTGGCAGGCACTGTACTCAGCACAGGGCCACAAGACTTTCTTTCAGGATACGAACATCCAAGGCCCAAACCAGCTTCCAGACAGCTGGCTAAGGTAGAAGGTATCTTTCCACTTGACTTCAGAACAAATTGGTGGGACTGTTTGAGACTTCTAACATTTCTTCCCTGACTATTCTGAAAAATGTCAAACCCACAGAGAAATTACAAGAAAGTATAAAGACCACATATATGCCCTTGACCTGGATTGACATTTGATCACATTCTTGCTCTCTGTCTCTGTCCTGTCCTAAGCATGTGCCCCATAAATTCAAGCTTCCAGAGAGAGGGTGGCTGAAGAGTAGAACTTATGACATATAGTTGGATAGACTGGTAGTTGTCACCTTAAGCTTCATGTCCTGAATAGGCATCCCCTTCTAGTAGTGGCTGGCATTTGGGTACAGTGCTACATGCTGCACATAGATCTTATACAAGCCTCATGAGGAGACTCCATGAGATGAGAACCTATTACCTATGTTTCAGTACCAGCTAGAAAAGGGCAGGCCCAGGCAACTTGGCTTCTGAGCCTTGACTTACCTACTCTACCACTTTGTTTTACACCTACTATTCAAGATGTAAGGCGCTCTGGTCATGTAGTGGATAAGGCACTTGGCTGCTAACCAGGTCATCAGTGGTTCAAAACCACCAGCCACTCCACGGAAGGAAGATGGGGTGATCTACTTCCATAAAGATTTACAGCCTCGGAAACCCAATAGGGGTCGCTATGAGTCAGAATCAACTTGATGGCAGTGAGTTTGGGATTTTTTGTTTTATTCAAAATGTGACAACCCTGATCTATAGCATCCAGAAGCTTGTTAGAAATGCAGTCTTGGGGCCCACCTCAGATCTTCACATTAGGATCTGCATTTCAACAAGATCCTTAGGTAATTTAGATGCACATTTTAGAGAATCCCTAGTCTCTTGGTGCTCCCTTGCTGCTGCCTCCCTTCCCCCATTTTCTTGTCCCAACCAAAACAAACTCACTGTCATCGAGTCAGATTCTGACTCAGCGACCCCTCAGGTTTCCGAGGCAGTATCACTACCGAAGTAGATTGCCCAATCTTCCTTCCGAGGAGTGGCTGGTGGGTTTGATTACCAGTCACGTGCCTTAGGGACTGTGCCACCAGCCCTCCCTTTCTTGGCCCAGGTCCTTATATATTTATTCATAAACCTCTACTTTGCATAGAGTCAAACAGGTCACCCTCAGCTGACCAGGGTGGCTGATGGCCTGTTTTGTATTACCCATGAGCCTGCTGATGATGGGTCGGAATGAGACCAGACCCCACCGAGGATGCCTGCCACACTCTCCAAAATGCTTCTTAACAAGTACAACTCATCCTCAGCAGACCCCAAAGGGATGTGTGTATGCTCACTTGCAAGCCGGGGGTGGGGGGGGGGGGGGGGGTGGTGAATCCAATGCCTTTTCCCCTCACATCATCACACCCACTTCCTAGAACAGTTATATATCAGAGTGAAGGGAAGTTGGGTGTATGGGAGGCTGGGCCTGAATTAAAGAAAAGGTTGCAGTTGGACTAGTGCCTTTAAAAACTAAAAACTGCCGTTGAGTGGGTTTCTCAGGTGGTATCACTACGGAAATAGATTGGCCAGCCTTCCTTCTGAGGAGTGGCTAGTGGGTTTGAACCGCCAGTCTACTGATTAGCAGTCAAATGGTTTAGACACTGTGCTACCAGAACTAATATTTATCTTCATGGCTTATGGGAAGCTTTTAAACCAAGACCATTGAATTATCTGACCCCAACTACATGCCCTGGCCTCTCCAGGCCTGCTACCATAGAGCCTTACAGCCATAGCCCCCTTCCCTTTGGGTGCACTCTCCAGGACGGCTTCTAAGATAAGCAGACCTTATCCTACACCCTCCAGACTTCTGCTCAATGTCTTAGAACACTGGTACAATGCAACAGAATGGTTACAGTCAGGCTGTACTGACCTGGGGGTGGAGTCAGGGTAGAACCATGGGGTTCTATGGTTCCAAGATCAACCAGCTCACAGAGGGCAGAGTGAGAAGTGGATGCCATGTCTGAAGAGTGAGTAGGCACTGGAATGGGGCTTCTGCTGGACTGAGAGCAAAGAGCAGAGCTTTGTCCCATCAAGCTGGACCCTGGGGCTGTCCTTGCCTAGAGTACAACTTTCTCTCCCCAAGCTTCCTTTGAATCGTCAATTCCAGAACCGGAGCTCTGTTCTGGGGGAAGGACATTTCTCTGTGCCCACCCCGCAACAAACTCACCCCTCCTGCAGAATCTCTGGGCAGCACCCTTGCCCTGGCTTCCAGAAGGCCCTTTCATGGCAGGGATCCCTCACTCAACATTCTTCCTTCTCTGGTGCATCAGTGGGCCCTCCTCCTATACCCCAACTTCACCCCTTCTCCCATCTCACTTCAGGAACTCCACTTGAGCTCCTTCTGATAAGTAGCATTGACCTCATACCTCACACCCAGAGGGTTCACGCTCCCTGGATTCAGTAGCCCCAGCCCCACCGCTGGCCAGGCTGCCCCTCCCTGGCTCAGAGTCGCGATTCGTGCCCTCCCTAGAGCCTACCAGCGCCTCTGGGAGTCCTCCCACGTGACACTGCAGGAGCTGCTGGACAAGGAGCGGCCCCTGCTCCACCCGGTACCTGAACGGGAGCGCCAGTCCTTCCAGCACCGGCTCTCGTCGCTCTACCTGTTCTACCTGGGGCTGCTTCGCCGCCTGGACGCCATCTATGACCAGATGGTGCAGCCGCAGAAGCGGCGGCTGCTGCGGCGGCTGCTGGACGGCGTGGCGGGCCGAGTGCTGGAGCTGCAGGATGAGCTAGTGCGCACTGACCTTAGCGAGTGCCGCTGCCTGGACCACGTGCTGCAGGAGCTCAAACTCACGCCGGTGCGGGGTGCCGGGAGTGGGCGCTGGAAGGGACGGAGATGGGCAATAGAGGGTGGAGTTTGGGCGCCTAAGATCTCGAGGGAAGGGGTTCGTACGAGGGTGCAGGAAGAGAGCTGGGTCTCTTGGTTGGGAAGAGCGACGCACCTCGGGGAGACCAAGAGCCCTCTGGAGACATTCCTCTAGTGTACTCCCTGGGCTAGCAGTGTTCGAGGCACCTGGAGCTTTCTTGCTGGAAATCCAGGATCCCGGGCCAACCCAAACCTACTAAATCAAGATCTGTGTTTTAACAAGATTCTCAGGTGATCTGTGCACACAGCCACGTTGGTTCTAGAGTCAGATCCGTCCCTAGCCCCGCCTCAGGTCCCCAGTGCAGTACCACTCCTCGCTCACACCCGGAAGTTTCTTAAGTTTCCAGGGCCAGCAGCATCAGACTCAGCTGTGGACTTACAAGTACTCACAGACTTCATTCTGAAAGGAGGGCTTCCCAGTTACGGTGGAGTCCTCTCAGATTCATTGTGATCCCATTTGGGTCAGAGTAGAACTGTGCTCCATAGTGTTTTCAGTGGCTGTGATCTTTCCCAAGTAGATCACCAGGACTGGATGGACTCCGATGGCCAACTTTTTGGTTAGCAGCTGAGTACGTGTTAAACATTTGCACCACCCAGGGACTGGGGGCAGGGGCAGGTGGGCCTTAGGAATCAGTATTTTTTAGAGCTTTCCAGATGACTCTGACACATAGTGGGTTGGGAACCATGGCCCACCTCCAGAATTCAACTCTAGCCAGATGGTGAAGGCAGGTGAAGAGAGAGGTGACTTTTGGAGGGACCTGCCCATAACCCAGGCCTCTAGGGTTCAGGTGCAAGAGATTGTGTGAGCTGGTGAAAATGGCCATGGACACAGCCAGCTACCCAGAGAGAGCAAGTAGTTGAACCCATGGACTCGGGACCATTGTTGCAGAGGACATCAAGCTCAATTGGCATAATATACTACATAAAACATTGTTCCACCTCCTACTCTGGGGAGTACCAACTGAGATCTTAAAAGCTTGCAAGCAGCCATCTAAATGCAATGATGGGTCTCTCCTCATCCAGAGCAAAGAAGAATGAAGAAAACCAAAGATTTATGGAAAGAATTAGTCCTACCGACTGGTACACCATGTGATCCTCAGCCTATACAACTATGAGACCAGAAGAGCTAAATGGTGCCTGACTACCATTGTCAACCACTCAGAGGGGGATCTATGTAGGAGATCCTGTGTAGAGTGGGAAAACAATGTGGAACAAAACTCAAAATCATTTGGGGGAAAAAAAAAGGATCAGGTTTGCTGATCTGAGAGATCTGGGAGCCATTGCATTGTGGTAAATTGTAGTCAATGTCATGAGACAAACTATGTGAACTGCTATATAGAAAGTGAATTTTTATCCAAATCACAATTTAAAAAAAAAAAAAAAAAGGCCATTGATCAGCCAGATGTCCCTAGCTATTGATTCCTGACCCTCCTTCCCCCATATTGTCCTAAAGGCAGACCTGGAGGTTCCAATTCCCAAATACTTCCTGTTGGAGCAGGCTAGCATTCTGAAGGACCGGGGCCTAATGTTGGCAGAAATCCTGTCCAAAATGGAGCCAGTGCCCTCTGTGGAGGTGAGGGCAGGGAACACCCTCAGACTCCTTCCAGTGCCCCCTCTAGCCCCAAAATACAGCCCTGCAGCATGCACAGAGCCCTACCCTGTCCCATACCCACTTCAGAATGCCCTTTGGGTGGCCCCTGGCTCTCTTCAAGGTTGCCCCTGTGCTCATGGGCACTTTTCAGTGGCAAGCCAGATGCGTGGTTCTGCCTGTGGGCTAATCTCCTAGGTCCCATCCTGATGCAGTCAGGCCCTCATTTCTTCCTGACCTTTTTCTCTGGCTAGATCTTTCCAGGAAAGCACTGGACTGAGGCCATAATCCTGCTGCAAAGAGCCGAGCGGGCCCGGCAAGGCCGGCTCCGTGCTAAGTTCATGCGTGAAATTCGGAGAGAGGAGGAGCGGGACCGGAAGAGCCGAGAGGATGGGAGGCACAAGTTCACTCAGGACCAGGCATCTGTCATCATACAGAAGGTAACCGGGCACCAGGAAGAGGACCAGGGTGATGGTCACAAGGGGCTCAGGGGCTGGATTCTGTTCCTTACAATGCGAGTCCAATTTCCTTGTGGATAGGGACCTTATTCAGTGCATAAACTTGTGTCTTATTTATTTACTATTTATTCTGCATCTCCATCCCCAAGAAGATTTGGAGTGAGTACCATAAAATCCCCAGAAACAGAAGGATCATTAAAATTTGAGACGAAAGATGCATAACAGTATAGCAAAACACAGCAGATAACCACATTCCAGAAATACTCAGACTAAGTATGAGCCACCTGGGCCATAGTCACAGGGGACATCAAGCTCAATTGGCATAACATACTACACAAAACATTGTTCCACCTCCTACTTTGGCGAGTAGCGACTGGGATCTTAAAAGCTTGCAAGCTGCCATCTAGATGCAACGATGGGTCTCTCCTCATCCAGAGCAAAGAAGAATGAAGAAAACCAAAAATAAATGGAAACAATCAGTCCTAGCAACTGGGACACCATCCGATCTACAGCCTATATGACTATGAGACCAAAAGAACTAGATGGTGCCCAGCTACCAATGTCAACCACTTGGAAGGGGATCTATGTAGGAGATCCTTGGTAGAGAGGGAGAACAATGTGGAACAAAACTCAAAATCATTTGGAGAAAAAAAGGGGGGGGGGACCAGGTTTGCTGGTCCGATAGAGCCTGGTAGAACCACTGAGACTATGGCTGTAGCTGCCCTTTAGGTCTGGCACTGAACCCACACCTGTGGCTTCCAGCCAAGCAAAAGAGAGGTATATGAGTTGAACATTTACCTGAGGCAAGTACACTCCTTGGAGAGAACAATCATGGGAAAAAGAAGGGCTGCTTATACACAGGGAAACAGTTCAGGAGGCAGGAGGGCATGGAGGGATGGACACAGGGAAGAGGTAATTATCAGGAGGAGGTGGAAGGGGAGCTGTTGCATTGTGGTAAATTATGGTCAATGTCATGAGACAAAATGTATGTGAACTACTGTATGAAAAGTGAATTTACTCTGTAAATTTTCACCCAAATCACAATGAAAAAAAAAGAAAAGAAAAAATTTAAAAATGAGCCACTCAATATTTCCTGAGCCTCGTGGCAAAAGAGGTAAAAGGAAACATGATGAATTAAAGTGGAGTTTGATAACTCCAGCTTGGTGCCTTCCTTTAACACCCCCACCATGCTTCAATGCAGAAAGCCCCTGAGAGAATGGGGAGTGCCTGGCTTCACTCTGCCCAGTGCCTTGCCAGCCCTACCCCCCCCCCCACACACACACACACGTGCATACACACTGGTGCTAGAGGCCTGGAGAAACAGCACTATGTAGGAGTCAGGAAGCCTGATCCCAGCCCCAACTCCACCTGGGCTTAAGACAATGTCCCATCACTGGCCTGTTTCCTTGTGTGAAAAATGTAAGCATTTACCAGGGGTAGACACAAACCTTGCAGCACTGAAGTCTGTGTTCCTGGATGGAATCAAATATTTGTTCCAAATGCCATAGCATTCTGAGAAGTAGGCTATCCCAATGCTTCTTGGAGGAGGGATTCCTAGCATTCTGATACAAAGGGTTAGCAAGTAGAGAATAGGGGGAGAGAGTTTCTGTGGGTACACCCCATAACACCCTGGTCCTGTTGGTCCTGCTGGAGAGAGTTTGCAATACCCCTCCACACAGCTGCCCCACCACCCCTTAAGCCTCCTTGCAAGGGCTGTTGTTCCTTCCAGGGCTGATCCTACAATTCCCCCACCCCTGAGCCTTCTCCCCCCTTAGGTGTGGAAAGGCTACCTGCAGAGGAAGCGTACCCAGCAGGACCGGCAGGTAGAGATGGAGTTCATCGGCATGGTGAGGGACCCTCTGCACCCTCCACACACAGCCCACACTGCCCACTCTACCCTCACTTGGGATATGGTGGGAATGGGAGTGGAGGGGGTATTAGGAGGTGGGGAGCTCTGATAGATGTGGCCATTCAGATTATGGTTCTGAAGTGGGGAGGGACAGAAAAGCCACCTCTAACCCTCATCTCTTTATACCCCTCCCTCTCCTTAAGCCCTTGGAAGAATCTCAAAATGTGGGAAGGGGCCAGAAGTGATAGCAGCACAGGACATCTTGGACTCCTCCCATGCCCCTGTGTGGAAGGAGAGGTCGTAGGGTGGGCCCAGCAAAGGGATAGGCCCTCAGGGCCAGCCTTTGAGACAACCATTTAGGCTAAGCTGGAGAGCCACACCCCTACACCAGGACTTTTCTGGCCAGAGGCTTCCCACTTGCTCTGGGGACCCAAAAGCACTTCTCTGTGGAGAGGGTGACTCAGTGCTCTGAAATGCCTGTGATGTGATATGATGTGAATGTGTATGCAGAGCCTTTTGAGTCATAAGAGGTGCAGAAACCCTGATGTGTGCACACATATGAATGTACGTGTACAGGTGTGGCATGTGCATATATGTGCCTGTGTGTGGTATGTATGTGAGTGTGTGCACACGTGTGTTCTTGAGTGTACATGTGTGTGTGCATGTTTTGTGGTGTGCAGACCTCTTTCCCTAATACTTCTTTGTCCTCTCTGCTTACTGAGGGTCCCAGCTATTCTCTTAAGACCTGAGGAACAGAGGCCATGACAGGCCTGAGGGTCCAATCCCACAGGGCAGACCCTGGAGTGAACTGGCTGATGAAGGGAGTTGGGCTGGGTGGGCCAGCTCAGGGTAGCCACAGGGACTGGAGGGAAGGGTACTTCTTAAGGGCTGGCAGCAGCTAGGGCTGAGCCGGTAGCATCTTGGCAGGGCCAAAATTGCTTCTTTGGGAGGCTTAGGGGCTTCTGAAGGGGTCTGGGATGGGAGAGGAGGGGACTCTGCCTGGACTGGAGGTGGGGGACAAGATCACCAGTGGGAGGGGTGGGGGGCAGGCCATGGCACCAGTGGTGGGTAAGGAGGGAGCTGGCTGCCTGGGCACCTCAGGAGTGTGAGCTCAGCATTTTCAGTAATTGTCTGTGCAGAGTGATATTTAAAATACATTTGGGAGCCAATGAGGCGGGAAAGTGGCTGTGAGCAAGGCTGCCAATGTGGCCCAGCGGCAGGGATTCGGGTGGGTGCTGGGCCCAAGGCTCATAGGGGGGGTGTGTGGGGGAACAGGCAGGGGGCAGCCCAGATGCATCAAGTAAACTCATTATTGGAGTAATTTACACAGACGGGTCTCGCCTCCAAACGTAATTTCTCCTGATGCAGGCTCACCCATTGTTCCATGCAGTAGTGCATGCAGTGTCTAGAAGGTGTAAGGGCAGGTGTGTGTGCCAAAGAATGGGGTCCTCCTTCCCCAACTCTTGAGATCCTCTCTTCCCTTCTCCAGCTCCCCTCACCCAATGAAACAGAGCACTCAGGCATCCTGTCCCAGGCCTGCCTCAGGGAGGATGTCCGGAGGCTCCGCCAGGTAGAGAAGGAGGAGGAGTTCCAGTTGGCCATGACGCAAACCCATGATTCTCTCATAGAGACTGAGGGGCCTGACATAAAGGAGAAGATGAAGGAGCAAATTCGACAGTGGTTTATTGAATGCCAGTCAGTGTCCTGAGCCACGGCCAACTCATTCTCAGTCCCACTCTTCTATCTTACCCCAGTGTCCCCATAGGCTGACTTCTCCCCACAACTGTTCTGTCCTCTAGTTCAGAATGGCCCCTTTTCTCCATCCCCAACCCCCAACACACTGCTGACAATCTAGGCTTAAACCTTGGCCCCAACCTACAGTACCCTTTCCACATATGATCCCCCATTTCCCTGGATGGAAAAGAAAATGCCATAATAGGATGGGAAAAGCATCCATGAATGCCCCCATGAGCAACCTGTCTTTTCTATTCTGTAATTAACTATTTATCCCTCTCTCCCTCTATTTCTATGGTTCTTTTATCCTTCCCCATCCTTCTATCCATCCATTCACTTATCCTTCCACCCACCTACCCATGTGTTTGTCCCCCTGTCTGTCCACCTACTTGTCAAACCACCTATCCACCTGTCCAACTACCCACTTACCTGTCCAACCACCCATTCATCTGTTCACCCTTTTACCTATCCAGCCGTCCATCTTGTCTAACAATTTTATGTCCACTTAGTGCCCTTACAGGTCGGTTTCCTGATTATCCAGATGAGTCTTCAGGTGGATCCTACGTGATCTTTGCAGACAAGACTCCAGAACAGGTATACTGGGAGTGAGGACAAGGGGTTTTCCATGGCAGGCTGAGCTTGGAATAAAGAGTAGTGAGTAAAGCTAAATGTGGTGGTGGGGTGGGGAAGAGGTCAGCTATGGTCAGTAGAGGCAGATGTGGCCAGAGGAAATATATGTGGCTAGCAAGGCTGCATGGGGAAGGTAAGAGGGTACCTGTCACTGAAGAAGGCATCCATGCCAGGGAGAGTAAATGTCCCTGGAGAGACTCTTAAGGCTCTGGCTCTGAGGCCCCAGATCAAGCCAGCACCTCTGATCAAAACACAGTTTTACTTGGCTCCTTTTCCTCCTGGAGCCCAGTATGTAATCTCGGGACTCTCAGCAGTTATGTAGCCCTTGTGGATCCTGGATTCACCCCTGAGTTCTCCTGTTCCTATAAAACCCCTCTGGTCTCTGCTACATCATCATCTTTGGTCACAGGTGAGAATGGAACTGGAACTGCAGGTCCAGGAAAGCAAAAAGAAGGAGCAAGAGAAAAATAAGAACAAGGATGAGGGAAAAAAAGAGAAGAAGAAAGGGAAGGAAGAAAAGACCAAGAAGGGGGTGAGACACCTTGTGGACATGTGGCATGAGTGGTCAGGGAGGACCAAAGTTTAGAGAAATTCACAGTAGGAAAGCTGGTCTGGGTAAGGATTAGGTAAGAATTTGTGGTAGGTGGAGGAAAGAGGCTATAAATATATATATAATATACATTTATTATATATATAATATGTATTTATTGTATATTATTACATATATAATTTATTATATTTGTAATGATACATGGAATTAAATATTACATGTATTATATATTATATGTACATGTTTATATATATATATATAATACACTTACAAAAAAAAAAAAAAAAAAAACCCACTGCCATTGAGTCGATTCTGACTCATAGCAACCCCCATTGGGTTTCTGAGACAGTAAATCTTTATGGAAGTAGATTGCCCCATCTTTCTTCCATGGAGCATCTGGTAGATTTGAACCACCAACCTTCTGGTTAGCAGTCAAATGCCTTAGGTACTTAGCCACAAGATAAATATTATATTTTTATACAGAAATAATAGACTATTTCTATTCCAGGACATGGATAATATGCTGAAAGTATTGCCATCCAAATTTGTACCTGTGATCAATGCTGGACATGAGGAGTACATGAGTAAGAGGAGAGAAGGCCTTACTGGGGGTCTTGGAGTAACCCTTGGCCTTAGGGAAAGTGGGGACTTGTCATGGATTGGAGGTGGGAGTGTGTAGGCTGAGGGGATGACGTTAAAGGGGGAGAAGAGTGTGTGTGATTTCTTGGGTGGGGGGATGTTGTAGGTTTGGGTCTGGTTTCTGTGGTCACACTCCTTGGGGTCAAGCCTTTGTAGGCTGAGTAGAAGCAGTGCCAGGCAGCTGAGTGGGGAGAGGTAGATCAGGCTTGGGTCTGGATCCTGGCCAAAGTATGCTTGTGTGCATGTATGTGCATGTGTATACGTGTGCTCATGTGTCTCTGTGTGCATGTGCATGCATGTGTGTGTGCACCTATGTGTCACTGTGTATTGTGCATGCAGTTTCATGTGCTGTATGTGCAAGTACATGCATCTGTGTGTATGTGCAAGTACACATACCTAGGATTCTTACCTTCCCTCCATCTGTTTTCCATGGTCAGAGCTATGGAAGAACCGCCATGAGAGCATATACCCCAGTCAGAGTTTTGACCCTGAGACCCTAAGGGAGGAAAAGAGGAAGGAAGTGGAGGTGGAGATCCGCACACAGGTGGGAGGGCTCATCAGGGTCGCCCTCACTTTCCCCATTTTGGTAATTAGCTAAGAGCCAGGCTCAGGGGTATGCAGGATTCAGACCAGGGGTGGGAGTGCAGTGGCTGAGGGCTCCAGAGTATATGGGGACACCGGTGCTGCTCCCCAGGCCACCTTCTCAAAGCTTGTCTGGCTTTTATCAGAGGCTCCTCTCCTTCCTCCCATCTCTGCCTCCCTCCTCACCTCTCTCACTGTCTCTTCACCAGGCCCCTGCTGCCCTTTCCACTCCCTCCTGTCTCCCCAGGTAGATAAGCTGATGCAGCAAGAGCTGAAGAATTTGCGCCTGGCTGTGGACAGGGAGGAGGAGAGACCCTTGAAGCCTCCAAAGGTAAGATGAGAGGCCAGATCTGGGGCCAGGAGGGCTCTGCAGGCTCCATAGGGGAGGAAGGAACAGAGAATACTCACCTGTACACTTGTGTCTAACCAGAAGAAGCCTGGGAAGAAAGTTGGAAAGAAGAAGGAAAAGGATCTCACCCCCAGCAGGTACCTGATCCGGGACAGGAGGCTTGGATTTATACTGTATGACCTTGGGAAAGTCACTTAAGCATACTCATTCCCGAGTACCTCCCTGCCAAACTTCCAGGATAGCTGTGAGGATCATATAAAATAATAAGAAATTATAAGAACATGCTTTGAAAATTATAATGCAGAGTACATAGTATTGCCGTCATTCAGATTCTCCCTTCCACTTTCACCCTCCTTAAGTAACTCTGTGCTCTCACGAAGACATCACCCCCTGGACTTCCCACTCTAGGGCATTGAGTAGCTTGCCTTTTTCCACTCACTTCTCTGAACCTGCTCACTTGTAGACAGAAGTGGTGAGCACACTCATGTTATTTACTTTAATGGCCATCCCTCCCAGGAAGAATTACATGTTAAATGTAGTTTCTAGGAAGGGGCCAAGCTTAACCCAAGTGGATAGATTTCTAATGGTTGGACTTTGGGAAGTCCACAGAGGGCACTGGTCTTTCCTGCCTCCTTTTTGGTCCATGTAGCACCTTCACAGTACAGTCCCAGTGCCTTAGGGTAAGAGTTTTGGTATCTTGGCTTTCTCTCACACACTGTGCCTTTTGATGCCAGCTGTACTTTTGACCACAGGACATGGGCAGGAAAACCATCTTTCTTCTCTTCTCATGTCCTCCACAAGCTCCCACCTTTATCTAATGTCCTCTGGGTCTCCTGCCTACCCTCTGTAGGTCCCTGGACTCTCTGTATGAAGAGCTCGTCATCCACAGACTTCTGAAGAAGAGTGAGACAGTGGCACTGAAGGACTACATCGGTGAGACACATACCCTATGACTAGTCCGAGCTGAGGGGCAGCTGGCTCTAGACTGTGCTCTTCCCCTTGCTGAAGGCCACTTCTTGGAAGTATGACTGGCTTCTTGCATGATTCTTTCCCTTGGCCCAAGCGACCTGACTGCCTGTACCCTCAGGTGACTGCCTCTATCTTGGATCTGCTCTGAACGTGGCAAACAAGTTGCCTATGCCTTCCTTGTTTGATATTCGTCAGAACATGGCCTTGTATGGGGTTCTGCGGCTTGGTGAGAAACCCTTGTGGGGGTGTAAAGACCCTGAGTTAGGCAGGGGCTTTTAGGGCAGGGTGGCTGAGGTGGACACATGTCCTGCCCCTAGGTGTATCTGCCTGCTGGAGGTCACACCCCTCAGAGGCACTGCCACAGAAGTCACATGGGTCCTTGATCTGTTGAGGAATCCACACTCCCAGCTCCTTACTCAATCCAAGTGACCTAGTCTGTCCCTTTCCCCAGCCCACTCTGTTAAATACCAGAGACCAGGATCTCTCTGGGGCAATTTGTCATATGCCATTGAATTTCACCCCTTTGTAGTCCAGGAGTACAGTTGTTATGGAAACCAGAAAGGGCATTTAAAGAGGCAGGGAGCTCTTCTGATACCATATACCAAAAAAAAAAAAAAAATTACTGTCAAGTTGATTCTGTTTCATAGTGACCCTATAGGATGGAGTAGAAGTGCCCCATAGGGTTTCCAAGGCTGTAATTTTTATGGAAGCAGACAGCCCCATCCTTCTACCACTGAGCAACTGGTATGTTTGAATCATCAACCCTTCAGTGCTTAGTTAGCAGCTCAGCACTTAACCACTGTGCCACCTTGGATATCACATAAAACCAAAAACTAAGCCCACTGCCATCAAATCTATATGACTCATAGTGACCCTCACTGGGTTTCCAAGGCAAAATCTTTATGGAAATAATTGTTTTATCTTCCTTCCACTGAGTGGTGGTGGGTTTGAACCACCAACCTCCTTTTCTTTTCTTTTTTTTTTCATTGTGCTTTGGGTGCAGATTTACAAAGCAGATTTGTTTTACATTCAACAGTTCATGCACATTTGATTTTATGCCTAATTACCATCCCCAACCATAACAAACTCTCCTCCCTGTGACTACCCCCTCCCTGTGCCCTTCTTATCTATGCACTCCTGTCTGTCCAGCTTTCCTTCTATGTGAATGCTGTCCCTCTGGTGTCTCAAGGCTGATTGGTGTATCTCCCTAGAGCAGGTGAACCACCAACCTTCTGGTACTCCTTTAGGCACTACACCACCAGAACCCCTTTTGATATCACATAGGGCCCTTCAAAACCTTCCAGGCTTCCAATCACAGTCTGCACATGGGGGACTGCTTAGACACAGGAGGAGCCTCACTGCAGCCTGGCCCATGGCCTTACCCTATACAATATACCCCATGCCCTGCCCCATGCTGCTGGCCTACACCCTGCCTCTGGCCCCATTTCCTTCCTCACAGGCTCCCCAGATATACATGCCATGGCCCCCCTTATCCGTTCCATCCTCTTAGTGGGCCCCCCAGGCATGGGGAAGAAGATGCTGGTTAAGGCTGTGTGCACCGAAACTGGTGCCAACCTGTTTGACCTGTCCCCCAGCAACCTGCAGGGCAAATACCCTGGCAGAGCCGGCGTGCAGATGGTCGTGCATATGGTCTTCAAGGTTGGTCCCAACTCTCAATGTTCTCCTCAGTCTGACAATATAGCTGAGTGGGCTTCCTGTTGAGGGGGTGCCTATCTGCCCATGGGGTAATTTGGGGACCTGGGAGGTTTCCCTTCCAACCCCTGCTATGAGTTTTGAGGCATCCGGACCCTGTGAGGGGCCAGAGCAGTTGCAGTTGATTTTCCAGGAAGAGATGAAGTTGAATATGTGCCCCTCCCCATCCCAGAGGCAAACCTCAGACTCTCCCCTGGAGTGGGGCAGCAGAATGCTAAGGTGGAGCTGGTGCTTAGGAGGGCACAATGAGGCTAGCCTGACCCTGGGCTCACCACACAGGGAAAGCCACTCTTGTCCAGAGGCCTCTGATACAGGCTTTCACCCTCTGCCTGGCCAGGTGGCTCGGTTGCTGCAGCCCTCTGTGATCTGGATTGGGGGAGCTGAGAAGACTTTCTATAAGAAGGTCCCAAAAGAAGAGAGAGAGGTAAGAGGCATCAGTGACCTGGGTAGGGGAGCATGAGCAAGGCTGAGAACTAGGGCTTTTAAAAATCACTCCAAGCCTAACCCACAGTGACCTTGGGCGGGTGTCCTCCCCTCCACTGCTTCTTTTCCTATCTCCAAAGCAAGATAACAGCCTCTCCCTCTCCATCCCTCAGGGCCAGTGGGATACTGTGCCAGACAGGGGTGGGGGTGGGAAGTGTGCCCTGACCAGTTGTAAGCCTACCTGTCTGTCACTGTGTGCCTGTGCTGTCAGCTCTAGAAGCCCTCTGATCCCCCACCTGAAACTCCCACATCTGCTTCTCTCCCTGGAGCAGATGGACCCAAAGCGAATGAAAAAGGACCTTACCAAGGCCTTGCGCCTGCTGAACCCCGGAGACCGCGTGATGCTAATTGGAACCACAGCCCGGCCACAGCTGGCTGAGATGAAGGGGCTGTGTCGGACCTATGAGCGCATCCTCCTCATGCCCCGGCCCGACTACGCCTCCCGATTTGGTGAGGCCTGGGGCCTGGGAAGCTATGCCTTGCTGCCTGCTCCCCATGTGCCTGCACCCACCCATGCCTCCCGGCCCATGTCCTCACATGCTTGCAGTGCTTTGGAAGCATATGATAGAGACCCAAGGAGTTCAGGTGACCCAGAGCCTGGATATCAGTGCCCTGGCCAAAGTGTCTGATGGTTACACGCCCGGCCACATCCTCCAAGCCATTCAATCAGTACTGACAGAGCGGCGGCTCCTGCAACTGTCCAAGCGTCCCTTAGTGGCCTCTGAGTTCTTGGGGCATCTGGCAAAGCTGGAACCAGTGTACAAAGAGGAAGAGGAATCTCTGAAGGTGAGGCTGCTGTGGGAAAGGGTGGGCAGTCTTTCTAAACCAGTGCCGTAGCACATCTCAGACCTCTCCCCTTGTTCCCCAAAAGTACCACATGACAGGTTAAAATTAATGTGGCATTCTGCTGAAAAAGGAACAAGAAATCACCAAAGGGAGGGCTAAGGGATTGGGGAATGGGAAGGAACATCTCATCTGGTTTTCCCTGAAGGTGGGAGCCTGGAAAGGCCAGTGATAGAGGAGAAGCCAGTGCCATACTCCAAGGCAAAGGAGTGGCAGTGAAGAGAGGATAAAAAGATGGAAAGAGGGGGCATGATGGAGGGCAGTAGATGAGGGGGATATGCCTAGAGAACTTGGTGAGGAACAAAGGAACTCTGGGAAGAGAGGACGGAAGGCTGTTGAGGAAACAGGGTCCTGTAAAAAGGGTAAGGATGAGGTCAGAAGACAGAACTGAGGGTCAGATCCCAATGGACCAGGTCTTCCTCTTCATTTCTCCTACTTCCCTTGCCCCTCCTCCTTCTCCCCCTAAGGACTGGTACTTCAAGACTCCACTAGGCAAGAAGAGAATGAAGCTTATCAAGGAGCAGATGGAAGCTGAGGAGGCCAGGATAACCAAGGAAAAAAAGAAAAAGAAGTGATGGCAGAACTGAGGGGGCCTGGGCTTAGTCAGGGGGAGAGGAAGGGGCTGGGCAGCAGAGGCAATGCCCAGGGTGAAAGGGCCAATGAGTAGAGGTATAAATATCCACATGGCTTCTGCGACTGAGGTCTTTTGTCCAGCTTCCTGTCTTCTCTCCTGTCTATGCCTGCTGCCTGTGCCAGCCTTCATCACACCCCCTCCTCCTGCCCAAGCTCCCACCCCACCCCTGAGTCCCCACTTCCTTGTCATTTTCCTGTCCTGACCCCTAACTTCCTTCTTCCTAGAGGAGTACCTGCAGGGACCTAAGGAAGAGAAAGTAGAATGAGAAGAGGGGTAGGGAGAGAAGGTCAGCAAACAAAAAAGCAAGTCTGGGCCTCAGTTTGCCTATCTCTAAAGTGAGAGGAGATAAGACTAGACAATTTCTAAGATTCCTTCTATTCTAAGGTTCAATTACTCTAACAAAAGTGTCCTGGAAGTCAGGTGAGGACTCTTGGGCAGCAAGAGTGGGTGGAGTGGGGTGGGGACAGAGATGGTTCTAGAGAGAAAGGGCTCAGCAAGGGTGTTAAGGCAAATGGAGAGGCTTTGTGGCCAAGGCAAGGGCTGCTGGTAGGCCCAGTGCCTTCTCTGAATGATCTTCATCCCTCTCCTCTGAGGACCACCCCACTGCACCCTACCTACCCACACTCTGGGTCCCTTCCTCCAATCTAGAGCTCACCCTTCAGGGGGCTGGCTAGGTTGCAGCCTCCAGCTCTGGAGAAAAAGTCCATGCCCCCCCCCCCCCCGTTGCTGGGGAGAGAACAGCTCAGAGGTGGGTGGGTCAGGGACTGAGGGGAGCAGGAGTCAATATGGGAGGTACCCAAGTTTTCCATAGGCCAATATGAGGACAGGGCAGGTCAAGGTCAAGGACAGCTTCATAGGTCGTAGAAGCCAATGAGTGCATTGGCCAGGCACAGATACTGGGACTGGAGTAACTCCAGAGTTTGGAGCACTGTAAGGTACAGTACTGAGTCCAGGGGGATTGTTTTGAATTTTCTTTCTCCTATTTTTTCCTTTTAATCCCTCAAATGCCAGCAGTCTACTTATCTTAATGTGCCATTCTAACAATGGCAGGGTCAGAATTCTGTTGGGGAGACAAAGGCTCATTGTAGGGAGATGGAGGTGTCAGCACTGAGAAGGGCATTGCCTGTTATGTTGCCTGTGGCTGAGCCTAATTGCTTTGGGCAGAAGCCTGTCTCCCAGAGAGTACGGGGGTTGCGGGGGGAAGTTTGAGTAGTCACTACTGTGAACCTGTCCTTGAACGTGAGAGTGGGAAGGTGCAGGACTAATGGATGACATTGGGAGGTGTATTTGGATTGAATTGTGTTCCCTCAAAATATGTGTCAACTTGGCTGGGCCATGATTGTCTGTGGTTTAGCAGTTACATAATGATGTAATTTGGCAGTTATGTAATGATGTAGTCATATCCCATGATAAGCTCTGATGTGATCAGCCTATCAGTGGTAAGAGGATTAGGGTAGGATGCAACATCTTTAATCAGATCACAGTCCTGATCCTATATAAGAGGACTTTCCCTGGGGTATAGACCGAATCACCTTTTATCTTACAAAAGATAAAAGGAGAGAAAGCAAGCAGAGAGGGACCTCACACCAAAAAAGAAGAGCTGGGAGTGGAATGCATCCTTTGGACCCAGGGTCCCTGCACTGGGGATCTCCTAGACCCAGGGAAGATTGATGCCAAGACCCATGGAAATCTCCAAGGAACTCCAGGCCCACAGATATTGAAAGGAGACCAGGACCTTCTCCTAGAGCTGACAGCAAGAGAAAGCCTTCCCTTGGAGCTGGCACCCTGAATTCGGACTTCTAGCCTCCTAAACTGTGAGAGAATAAATGCCTGCCTGTTAAAGCCATCTACTTGTGGTATTTCTGTTATATATAGCTAAGACAGGAGGGCAGGGAAGCCAGTCTGGCCTCACACTCCCCTTCTTGGGCTGGGAGACCAGCACGACAGATGAGAAAGAACCCAGAAAAGAGAGCCTAAGGTCCCAGGTTCTAGTCCTGGCTGTGGAAGAAATTACCTGTCTAATCTAGAGCAAGTCACTCCCTTCTGAAGCTTCATTCTTCATCTGTGACATTACAGTTTTGGACAGCATGGCCTTTGTGGTCCCTTCCCACCCTGGTGCAATAGAATTCTGCAGAGGTACGGCACAAGGCTGGAGGGCTCTACTTACACTCTGTTTTCCTGGCCCTTCTAATTCCCACTTCTCTCTCTGGCTCTGAAGGCTGTGATCGCCCTGCCTCTTTCTGGCAAAGACTTGCTCCTCCCATACTGGGCCCAGCTCCCTGGATTGGGCCATCACTGTGGCATTGTGTAAGTCTTCTCCTTTGTGTCTCTCTCCCAGAAACTAGCCATGTCTGGGGGACGGAGTGCCCCTCAGTGTGGACGCCAACTGGGGACCTTCCCTTTGGCCCCTGCCTACCAGGACTGTGGACACCAGTCAGGCTCAGCCTGGGGCAGCCCTAGGTCATTGCCACTTCTGTGCCGTGACATGAGCCTACAGAATGCACTCTACACTGGAGACTTGGCAAGGCTGCAGGAGTTGTTCCCGCCCCACAGCACAGCTGACCTGGTGCTGGAGAGCCGGGCTGCAGAGCCACGCTGGAGCAGCCAACAGCCGGGTGAGGGTCAGGCTGGGGTCCCAGGTTGGGACAAGGGGTTGGGAGGCTGCATTGGAGCAGAGGTACCAAAAGCTTAAGGGAAAAGAGGAGTCAGTGGCTCCCGCCTCTGAGGCTGGTCCAGCAGCCCAGGGTGGCTTGGCACAGGAGGGAAGTCATGTGGAACCCAGAATAGCTCCTGCCACCCTTGTGACCAGGTCAGACAGCCCTGGACACAGACCCGCTGCCTGCATTAGTCTGCTTGCCCCTTTCTCTCTCCTTCCTTCCCTCACCACATGCTCACACTCTGTCCTCATGAGCTGGTCCCCCGGAGAATGCAGGGGCCAGGGAGGGCCCCCAGGCGACAGGAGTGCCCTCTGTGCCAGGCTGGTGGAGAAGTCCAGCACTGGGCCAGCAGAAGGTCAGAAGGGCGACCCAAGCCCCATCGTCACCTGTACAGCCTCAGGACCTGCTCTTGCCTTGTGGCAGGCAGTGCAGGTGGGAGACGTGGGCTCTGTTGCCCGCATCCTCTCCGACGACTGCGCAGGCCTGGCCCCTGACTCCGTCTTTGATACCAGTGACCCAGAAAGATGGAGGGATTTCCGCTACAACATCCGCGCTCTGAGTACAGCGGGGGCTCTGGGAGGGCGAGAGGGAGGTGGGAGAGGGCTCTGGGCGCTTCTGTGAGCATCACACATTTATCAGCTGCCCTGGCCTTTCCCCAGGACTGTGGTCTCTGACTTACGAGGAGGAGCTGACCACTCCGCTGCACGTGGCAGCCACCCGGGGCCACGTGGACATACTGCGTCTGCTGCTACAGCGGCGGGCCCGGCCCGATAGCGCCCCTGGCGGTCGCACCGCGCTGCATGAGGCCTGCTCAGCTGGTCGGGCCTCCTGCGCCCACGTGTTGCTTGTGGCTGGAGCCGACCCTGACCTTCCTGACCAGGATGGAAAACGGCCCTTGCATCTCTGCGGGGGGTTTGGCGCCCTTGAGTGAGTGAGCCCTCACTCCAACCACCTGCCCCATTCTTAATGGAGGCCAAGAGCCCTTTCCAAGGAGCATGGGGGAGCAGGCCCAGTGGGCTGCTATGCAGAAGTGGGGGCTCCATCCAGGGGTCAGGATGCAATTACTCTGGACTTGAGACAGTTTTCTGGTTCCTGGGGTGGAGGAGGGCTGGGGAAGGTGCCTAGCTCATGACTTGGTACTGGGGAAGTTGTCCAGGGTCATTATGGGAGGTGGTGGCATTGTCAAACTTTTAACACTTTTGAGCCTGTCCTATGAGCTAGGCACTGTGCTAAATACAACAGCAACTAATTCACAGCCCTGCCCTCAGGGTGGCAGCTGGGGTCCCCGTGGGCAGGGTCGGACATTCCTATATTAGCTGGGCACCTTCATATGAATGGACTCACTGGACCGTCACTAATGAAACTCACAAGAGACAAATGGATACACCCAGACTGGCCATTTGTTACTCTAGGGAATATTATTTTGCAGTTACCCAACAATTATGACCTATGTATAGGTAACAAGGGAGCTCTGGTAGCATAGTAGCTACGGCACTTGACTGCTAACCAGAAGGCTGGCGGTTCAAATCCACCAGCCACTCCTCGGAAGGAAGATGGGGCAATCTACTTCCGTAGTGATACTGCTTTGGAAACCCAAGGAGGGGTCACTATGAGTCGGGTCCGACTCGACGGCAGAAAACAACAACAACAACAACATGGGTAACAAGGTCAGTTGAGTCCTTACAACCAGTCTAGGCAAAGGAATCCTTGGCAAATCTTTCCTGAACTAACTGCCTACAACAGAAGCCCCTCTCTGCTTACTGCACACCTGTCAGACTTCACATCTTGCCCCTGAGTGGTACCAAATTTTTGATCCTAGAGTTCTCTTGTGGACTTTCTTTCTCCTGGTAACCTCATCAGCCCTCAAGGGATTCTCCATCAACCTAATCATACCACGACTGAAGACATGTTCTATGGTAGCATGGTCCAATGGACAGATAATGTGAACCCAATATATAATTTAAAATTTTCTAGTAGCCCCATTAAAAATTTGAGATGAAACTAATTTTAATAATATATTTTATTTAACATAATAGTTCCAAAATATTATCTTCAACATATAATCGATACAAAAATTAAGAATGAGATTTTTGTTTGTTTGTTTGTTTTATATTAAACTTTCACACTTGGTGTGTGCTTTACCTGTACAGCACCTCTCAACTGAGACTGGCCGCACTGAATGTGTTTCATAGCCATCCAGGGCCAGCAGGTACTGTATTGGACATTGCAGCTCTGGACCATCCTACAACTTTAGTTCTGGTCATTTCCAGCCTAACCTCCCTGAGATCACACCTGATGATATTGAGTCTTTCCTTCTTAAATAAACAAATTCTAAAAATAATTATGAAAAATTAAAAACTTATAGAAAGAGTAATATGAGGGGCCCTGTGACCCATCACCATCCACACTTCCAAATGCTGCCATTTGAGCTCTCTGTGTTCCACCATATGAGAACAGCTCTTCAGGCATTGCCTTGTATGCTGTGCCCAACAACCTCATAATGTCTACCAGTACTGGTTGCTGTTGAGTTGACTCCAATTCATGGCAACCCCATGTGTGCAGACTAGAGCTGTGCTTTATAGGGTTTTCAATGATTGTGATCTTTGAAAGCAGATCACCAGGCCTTTTTTCTGAGGTGCTTTTGGGTAAGTCCAAACCAACAGCCTTTCAGTTAATAGTCAAGTGCTGAACTGTTTGTGCTAGTCAGAGACTCCACATAAGGTCTCTAGTTGTTGTTATTCCCATTCTATAGATGAGGAAATCGAAGCTCAAAGGGACTAAGTACCCTTACCCTTGATTGTGGTTTACAAGTTATCTGGACTCCCTGTACTTCTCATGGGTATATACAATCATCAGGGAGCACTATCCTGGAGCAAAACTGGTGAGCAAATTTTGGGTTTTGCTCCACTTCCATTTGTGCCCTAACCTGGCCCATCCTCAGCTTCCTTCCCCTCCCCCCTGCCGCCTGCTGCTTTGGCCTCAATCCAGCTCCTCCACTTCTTGGCTAGGAAAGCTGGGTGAGACCCTCATAATCAAGGGGAGAGCCCAGTTTCCTCATTGGTGAATTGAGAGTAGTGAAAGAACTGGAACGTGGTGAAGATTAAGTTAGTTATGTTAAAGTCCTTGGTGTTCTAGTCTTAATTGCATAATAACTGTATGCTACTTTCATTCCCATGGAGAACGTAGTGAATGTTTGCACTTTAATACGTGAGGGTATTTTTGAGATGAGGAGTGACGGGCAGGGTGGAAGGTAAGGGAAACAGACCAGGAGCCCCTTGGTTCCCTTGGCTCTTTGCATGGTTTCCGCGTACCACCAACAGTGCTGAAGAAGGCCACTTCCTTGGGTTCCTCCTCACCATCATGTCGCCCATACTAGGTGTGCAGAGCTGCTCCTGAAGTTTGGGGCGAGAGTGGATGCCCGCTCTGAGGAAGAAGATGAGACCCCTTTGCACGTCGCTGCCCGGCATGGCCATGTGGAACTGGTGGAGCTACTTCTAAGGCGGGGGGCATGCCCCAATGCCCGGGATGCTGTGGGCTGTACACCCCTGCTGGTTGCTTGTGAGGCCCACTGCCTGGACCCAGACAATGCTGAGGCCACTGCTGCCCGCTGCCTCCAGCTGTGCCACCTGCTACTCTTGGCTGGTGCAGATGCTGATGCTGCTGACCAGGACAAGCGGCGACCCCTGCACCTGGCCTGTCGCCATGGCCACACTGCCGTTGTGGAGCTGCTTCTGTCCTATGGTGTCAGTACCAACACCATGGACTATGGTGGACACACAGCCCTGCACTATGCCCTGCAAGGCCCAGCCATGACCATGGCCCAGAGCCCAGAGTGTGTGGTCCGGGCCCTGCTCAATCATGGAGCTGTCCGAATCTGGCCTGGGGCCCTCCCCAAGGTATGAGACTGTAGGGCAGAGGGGTAGTCTTGGATGGCACAGGAACCAAAAGATCCAGACCTTTGTGTCTTTGCTGGTTTTGGGGTGCAGTGCAGGGCAGGTGGGCACATAGAGCACTGCTTTTTGGCTGTCTGTCTTTCAACAAATGTGCAAAGTCCAAATGTGGGGCAAAGGGGTGTGCACAGACAAGCAGGAAGGGTATGTGCACTTCAGAGAGAGAGTTTGTGTATGTGTGTCTGTGTGATAGGAAGGAGGGTATGTGGTGTGTGTGGTATATACGAGCACGTATATGTGATGGACAGAAGGGTGAGCAGGGAGCAGTAGACTCATGTTATAAAGGATCTGGAGAGGTAAGGAGGAGTCAAGGCTGAAGTGGGTGGTGAGCAGATCTTCATGGAGGTGTGAGGAGATTTGGAACATTGTTCTAGGAAGCTCTAGCTCACATGGGGTCAGTTCACTGAAGGCCACTCTGGACATAGGACAGGCTCCCCCAGGTCAGGAACTACATACCAGGAACAAGGTTCAGGCTCCTGAGCTTCTGCAAACAGACCTTGGTAGGACTTACATGGCACAGCACAGCCACCCAACACCCAGGCAGAGGCCTTTCCAAGCTCATTTTCAAATCTATATTTTCTTTTCCCAAGTGAGGTCAACTTTAAGTTCTAGGTATGGATGCTCTGCAGGCCCTTGTTAAGTGTGTTCCTGGAGGGTGAGGCTCTTCTGTATAGCACTGGCATGTGGAGAGGTGTGATTTCTTGATAGCCCAGTGGGGCACAGGCACACCTGTCTTCAGAGGAGAGAGCCTTTGTGGCTCCTGGGCAGTGGGGCAAAAGGGACACTGGCTGTGGCAGGTGTCCCTTGCTCACAGACAGAAACATCTGTCTTATTCCTAGGCAACACCAAATAATTAAACAGCCCAAGAGTTCGGCAGATTGGTCTCCCCTTTGGGAAAATACAAGAAAATCAACAATTAACACTAATTAATCTCCTATTAACACCAGATAATTAGGAGATGAGCAATTCCCTGTAATCTGATGGAAACTCTGACAGCTAAGGATTTCTTCATGGGGCAGGCTGGGAGGCAGAGGCAGCACAGCAAGTGGAGTGCCGCAGACTTCACCCCATGCCCCTGCGCCCCACCTGCCCACTGCACACACTGCCCCCCCCCCCAACCCCTATTCCTGTCCCAGGTGATCAGAAAGGGCAGCAAGTGCTCACACCCAGTTCCTGGTCAATAGCCCTCCCAGGTAGGTAGAGCTTCTGGCCCTAGAAAGAGCCAGAAGGCCTCCATGGCCCCTCTGTGATGTCATCATTCTTTGGGGAGCTCAGAAGACCTGGGTTCAGGTGGTGTGCCTCTGGGCAAATCACTGACATTCTTTGAGCACCAGGTCACTTGCATGTGATACAGTCTGTATCTGCATCTATGATGAGGCAGTTGGCAGGGAGCACAGAGTCAGCAGAACCAGCTGGCCTGCCTGCACCTCAAATGCTGTTTGAGGGCTTTACATGAGTGACCTCACCCCTTACTAGTCCCTGAAGCTGGCAGTGGCTGAATCACACAAGCCCTGTGATCCTGGGCAAGTCACTCTTCTCTCAGGGCCTTAGTATCCTCATTGGTAAATTGGAGATAATAACAAAATGCCTGCCTCAGGAGGGTCTGTGTGAGAACTATGTGAGTTAATGTGTCAGAGCCCATGAGACAGTCCTAACTCATGGTTAGTGCTCAACACATGTGAGCTACTATTGTTCTGAAGTTAAATACTGTATTAAACAGCAGAAACATGTTTCTAAGTGTTTAGGATCTCATTAGGCATAGGAGGGAGTGGTGCAGGCTGGAATAGCTGCAGAGGGCTTCCTGGAGGAGGATTGACTTAGAACAGTGGTGGGGGAACGGAGCATGCATCTCAGGCATGTGAGCACTGTGGGCCAAGTACAGAGGCTAGAGTCTGCCAGCCACCAGTTGGGAGGAACAGAGAGGCTGCCTTGAGACACAAGAGCAGATGGAGCAGCCTGCTCCTTCCCAGTTCTGAGGAAGAGGGAGGGAAAGGGCCTATCCCAGCAAACTCACAAGTGGAGTACACAGAGAAGGATGGACTGCTCTGGCAACCTCCACTCCAGAGACAGGTTAGGAATCAGAAGGCCTCAGGCTTGTGAAGCACCATTTCCTAGAAGAACCCTGTCTCCTACTCCACTCTCCACCAGTTTCCAACCCATGCAGCACCCCCAGGCTGTTGGGCAAGAGTTTCAAAAGTTGCGTAATAGTATATACAAGTTGCAGGGGCAAGGTGTGTGTGGTTATGTGTAGGAATACTGCTCAGGGTTGTGCATAGCTTGTCATAGATCTTAAAAGCGTCTGAGGCTACTGCTTATATTTTGAGAAGTGTGGGTGAAGGAGCACAGGGATTGCATACAGGGCCCTGCCTAGCAGCCCCTCTGACCTGAGGTGGCCCCTCTGGGAACTGTCCTTCAGCATGGTTCTCTCCCCTGGCACCCAGGACTCTGCTCCAGGTTGACTAGGCCAAACCCCTTCCCCTCCTTGTTTTTCTTTGCAGAAGCATGTCTATAAGTGGTCATATATTTATTCCCCGCTTTCCATTTGCAATAGAGACTCCTGATGTCAAGGGTTTTGTCTGCATCTTTACTGCATCTCAAGTGCTTGACACACACAAACTTTTAGCAAATGTTTATTGAATAAGTGACTGAATGATCCCAGCCACCTCCACTCCCACCAAGCCTTCTGTAAATGTTGCTATATGCCTCCTACTTTGGTCTTTGGCTGTCGAGTCCTTCCTCCTGAAATGTCTTCCTGTGCCTGATTTCTGCTCACCCTTACAGCCCTGCCTCACCTCTGTGAATTCTCCCTCTCCTATGTACCCCTACTCTAGCTCTCTCCCTTCACTTGGCATCTGCCCGACTCTGCTCTGTGAAGTATATGTCTTCTGATCTGCTCAGAACTGCAGCCACAGGCCAGGCAGCCCTTCTCATGTGGAAGACAGTCCAGTACAAGCCGGCAGCAGGGCAGGGCCATGTGGTCGCTGAGGGAAGGGGCCCCACTGCCTGCCTAGACAGCTGGAACAAAAACTTACTGTGTGATCATGTCTTCATGCCTCCATTTCCCTTATCTGTAATATGGATATAACAGTTCCTGCCTGTAAGGAAGAAGTGAAGTGCTAAGAAAAGTGTCTGCTGTGTAGTATTGAAATGGGACTGTCAGGGTGGGTGACTGCAGAGGTTGACACAGCTCTCCCCTATAGGTGCTGGCCCGCTGGTACACATCCCCTCGGACTGTTGAGGTGCTGATGAACACCTACTGTGTCGTGCAGCTTCCTGAGGAGGCCATAGGCCTGGTTCCACCGGAAACACTGCAGGTCAGTCAGGTCCCAGAACTGTTCTAGGAGACCTTCACTTCCTTAATGTAGATCACTCAGAGCCTGACCCCAGGAGATGCCTACCTCCTAAAAGGGAAGCCTACAAGCTCCACTTACCACCCCCAGCAGTCACCCAGATAGACACCTCTCACATCCCACAATAAGAAAACCCAGTGTAAACACCTGACTCATTCACTCCTTGAGAAGTGTGTGCCCACAACCGCCTGCTGAGCTCCTGTCTGTCCCTAGGAGCACTGCCGTTTCTACTCATCGCTCTTTGCCCTGGTGAGGCAGCCGAGATCACTGCAGCACCTGAGCCGCTGTGCACTGCGCACCCACCTGGCTGCCCAACTGCCCCACGCCCTGTCCCGCCTACCCCTGCCACCCCGCCTGCTCCGATACTTGCAACTCGAGTTCGAGGATGTGCTCTACTAGTGAGTCCTGGCTCAAGGGGGCAGTCACCATGCTTGTGGAATGACTGGGAGGGTGGGGGGCAGGGAGGGAGGGCCCTGGCCAGGAATGAGTCAACCTACCAGATCACTAGCTGCTCTGATCCCATTTCTCTCCTTCTCCATGCATGCTGCCTTCCTGAGCCTGGGAACAGATGCCCTGGCCCCCAGAGTGTGCCTGCCCACCTCTCACTGGTCCAGGACTCATGCATAAGTGTGAGCTACCTGAGGCAGACCAGCCCTATCAGCAGGAAGCCTGTGTCCACAGGAAGAGTGGTGCTGATTCTGCCAGAAAAGGAGAGGCCATGGTGGCAAGCTGTGTCTGGGGGAGAGAGACAAGGACTCATGGCAAAGGATACATTCTCCTTGGGAGTCTTTTGGATTTTTAACTCCTGAGGCCCCTCCAGCCCATCCCTGTGCTGGAAATCAAAGCTTGGTCTGCACATTAAAGTCTCTAGGCCTCTGCTGTTTGGGGCTGTCTGAGCTGGCTGTGCCACAGGAGAGTCAGCATGGAAAACTTTGGGTAGGCAGATGTACAGGAATGCTTTCCCCCTGTGAGATCCACCAGCTGTTGAGGTACCCCAGGCAGCTTCCCTTTCTACCTCATCAAGTGATGCAATGGCCACCAGGTGAGAGAGTATCAGGAAAGGCCTAAAGGAGAGAGGGGGATGGGAGGGGAAGGCTGAGTCATAGCAGGGTGGTGAAGGAAGCTTGCAGATAAAGAGGTAAGAAGAGGAGAGGGGGTAGTGGGGTGACCAATGGGAAATGGGGCAACTGGATAGGCCAGGTGAGAAGTAAGGGCCAGGTTTAAGAAAATGACATAAAATTATCCTCTTACCTGATAGCACAGGTCAGTGAGCACCACTGTACACTTATCCCTACCTCTCGCTACTCCTTCCTTAAATGTGGCTTTGCAATAGAGAGGCATGGAAGAACTGGAGGACCAGGGTTTTAACACTAGCCCTGCCTTTAACTTATGGGACATAAGTCTCTGGGCTCAAGTTTCTGTATCTGTAAAATGAGGGAGAGGCAAGTGTCCCTGAGGATACTTGCTGCACTGAAACCTGCAGATGGCCCTACAGTCATCTGCAAACCAAGGCAGGTGGCTGGGTTTATGGGGAGCCAGAGTAGGCACTGGATCTGTGATGTCAGGTGTTGCCGAGCATGTGTCCCTGGGCCAGAGAAGGTGGTGGTAAGGTGTGAGAGGAGGGGTGGGGATAGGGACCTGGTTTCCACCCTGGCCTCATGGAGCTTGGGCTGACGTTCCTGTTTGGGCTCCCAGGTTCTGGGGCTCTGTTATGGATTAAATCATGTTCCACTAAATATGTGTTGGAATCTTAACTCCTATACTTGTGGAGGGAGCTCTGGTAGGGTAGTGCCTAAGGCACTTGACTGCTAACCAGAAGGCTGGAGGATCAAACCCACCAGCCACTTCTTGGAAGGAAGATGGGGCAATCTACTTCCATAATGATACTGCCTCGGAAACCCAAGGAGGGGTCGCTATGAGTCAGGTCTGACTCGACAGCACATAACAACAACAGCAACATACTTGTGGATGTAATATTTGGAAACAGGGTTTCTTTGTTATGCTAATTAGATCATACCCAAGTAGGGTGGGCCCTAAACCTAATCACTTCTGAGTAATAGAGCAGATTAGACACAGAGATCCAAACATACAGGGGAAGACAGATGCCATGTGAAATTCACTAAGGAATCAGTGAACCAGGGACTACTGACAAAGCAAAGAATCCACACAGATGAAACCCGGATTTGGACTTCTAGATTCCAGGACTGTGAGAAAATAAATTTCTATTCTTTAAAGCTACCTGCGTGTTGTATTCTGTTACAGTTGTTGTTGTTGTTACATGCCGTCGAGTCAGACCCGACTCATAGGCAACCCCTCCTTGGGTTTCTGAGGCAGTATCACTACGGAAGTAGATTGCCCCATCCCTTCCAAGGAGTGGCTGGTGGGTTTGAACCGTCAGCCTTAGGCACTACACTATCAGAGCTCCCTCTGTTACAGTAGTACTAAGGATATTAAGACAGATCCAGCTTGAGTTGAGGGCCAGAGGGGGACTGTCTCTAGAAAGGGGGCAGCTGACCAGCAGGAAGGTCCAGGCCTGGAGCCCAGATCTCCAAGCAGTTGGGGTTGAGTGTGGCCTTGTCCTCTCAGCTGTAGAAACTGAAGAAACATACAGGCCATATCCCAAAAGGGTGAAGATCACTACCGTGAAGGGGTGGGGCTAGCCTGTCACATGGTGTGTGATGGGAGAAAGGGTTAGGAAGAGGTTTTCTGTGAGGCTTGTGCTGGGAAAACTGTGGCACTGACTTCTGCTCACTGTAAAGACTGGCTCAGGGCCTCTCTCAGAGATTCCTGCCTTGTCCCAGGGTGGGGGTCCAGGGGAGGATGCTCTATTATTCATTTGTCTGTTCAACACTTACAGAGTGCCTGTATGTTCTGGGCACTGCAGATACAAGGGTACAAAGTCCTTGCTCTCTAGTCCCCATGAAAGTTCACTTTCTAGTGGGGAGAGGGAGATACTAAAATATCAGATAGTGATAAGTGGTATGTAGAGAAATTTAAAAGAATGATGGGACAGAGAGTGACTGGGGCTATTTTAGATTGGTGGCAGGAAGCCAACTGTTTGAGGAGGTGATATTTACCCTGAGACCTGAAGGACAGGGGATGTAATTAGTGAGGAAGAGCAGCCCAGGCAGAGGTAACCTGGATTGGAAACGATCAGAGGGCTCTAAGTAGGGAGTGACAAGAACTGATTTAGGTTTTAAATTATAACTTTGGATTGTATGATCCCACTTCTATGAAATATCTAGAATAGGCCAATGCACAGAGATAAAAATTTATTAATCATTATCAGGGGTTAGTGGAGGGGACAACAGGAATTACTGCTAAAGGGCCACTGAATTTTTGTTTGGAGTATTGAAAAACTTTTGGAAATGGATAGTGGTTATGGTAGCACAACATTATAAATGTAATTAATGCCACTGAGCTGTACACTTAACTTAAAAATGGTTAAAATGGAAAATGTTTGCTATGCAGGTTTTCCTCGCTATCCAAAAGTAGAGCGTACCTATGAAACCTTTTGTAAACCAAAATGGCATAAAGTAAAGCAGCAATTTCCATGGGGAAAATTTTTGAGCATTACCAGACTCCCCAAAAAAACTATGAAATCATGACAAATACCACATAAAGCCTAAAATACCACTAACATATAGTAAAAACAGGAATGATATAATAAATACACAACCTATATAAAGTGATAGAAATAACACTGGAGATCACATGATAGAACTTTGTAAGACCAATTACTTATTCATTGCAAACACCTTTTTTCAACAACATAAATGGCAGCTATGTACATGGGCTTCACCATATGGAGTACACAGGAATCAGATTGACTACATCTGTGGAAAGAGGTGATGGAGAAGCTCAGTATCTTCAGCCAAAACAAGGCCAGGAGCTGACTGTGGAACAGATCATCAGTTGCTCATATGCAAGTTCAAGTTGAAGCTGAAGACAATTAAAACAAGTCCACAAGAGCAAAATGACCTTGATTATATCCTTCCTGAATTTAGAAACCATCTAAAGAATAGATTTGATGCATTGAACACCAGTGACAGAAAACCAGAGGAATTGTGGGATGACATCAAGAATATTATCCATGAAGAAAGTGAAAAGTCATTAAAAAGCCAGGAAAGGAAGAAAAGACCAAAATGGATGTCAGAAGAGACTCTGAAACTTGCCCTTAAATAGAGAGTAGCTAAAGGAGCTCTGCTAGCATAGTGTCTAAGGCACTTGGCTGCTAACCAGAAGGCTGGTGGTTCAAACCCACCAGTCACTTCTCAGAATGACTGGGCAATCTACTTCCGTAGTGATACTGCCTCGGAAACCCAAGGAGGGGTCGCTATGAGTCAGGGCTGACTCGACAGCATATA